AAAAAGTTATAATTCCAAAATTATACCTCATTGTTTATATGAATGTTCATTTTGTCTACAAGTCATTTTATGGCACAACTTAGCCCTTAACATTTTGTTTTTGTCAAAATAACCCTCGGAAAGCCTTAGGTGACTAACAATCAACTCATGTTGTTGATGAGATATATCTACATGTGCTTAATTGTTGATGTGGCAAATGACACGTGATTACCTTGGTTAATGTGGCTCATGTCACGCCATCATCTTGGGTGATTTGTTACATTTCACATTATCAGCTTGGGTGATATGATACATGCATGCCACGTTATCATCTTGGGTGACATGACATGTGCCATATTATCATCTTGGGTGACATGGATCTTGTCATCTTCGGTGATGTGGCACAAATATTGTTATGACCTTGGGTGATGTGGTAAGTGTCATGTCAGTAATTTAACATATGTTGGAATGCCATATCAACAACAAGTGTTAACAGTTAGTCAACTAACGATTTCCATCAAGACATTGTCATGTTGACCAAAAAAATGTAATGTTTAAGCGCTAAAGTCCTTACCAAAAAAGAATATGTGCCAAAATGATCATTTGGGAAAATGTTGGGAGGATAATTTTTGCATTATGCCTTGAAAATTAAGAGTGTATTTGTTTTAAAAAGTAAACTATGTATAACTTTAAAAACGTAATTCAATTTATATTTTAATTAACTTATTTTTTTATTGAAAATTATTAAAGATAATATATCCAATTGCTCTTGATGAGAGTTGAACTCAAGACCTCCCACTTACTAAATGGGTGCTCTAACCAACTGAGCTACAAGAGCTAGCTATGCTAATATAGTATATTACACAAATAAGAAAACTAGTTTCAAAAATATGACTTGGTAATTTATATTTTAACAGTTTTCAAATTTGAATTTATGATAATGTATGCAAAATAATTACTTTAAATTATTATTTTTATAATTAATGATAATTTTTTTAGTATGGGATAACATACATATTAATTATTTTAAATACATAATTTACATTTCATTTTTATAAAAATATGTGTCGGGTTGCTAAATAAACTCAAGGAGTTTACTTGTTTAGGGTGATGGCAATATTGTTACTCATAATATAATACGATGCTGGTAGTCTAGCGTTTCTTGATCTAATTATTTATACAATAATAGTATTTTTTTGTGTAATTTGGTATTGCTAATCGTCGACTCATTCTTTTCTTCAATCCCCTTTTTATTTAGAAATACATGTATAAGAATGCATAGTTAGGGTAGTCAACCCAACTTTTATACAGACTTACACTATAGGTGTAACTTGTCACTCAATACTCGAACAAAAATTAAAGCACGAGAGGTTGTATTAATTGATGATACACGAAACTGAAAACAAAAGTGAAAAAGAAAAATAATTTCATCATAAACTTAGTAGTTAAAAGTAAATTAAAATTAAGTATTAAATATTTAACATTTATTTGCATGATATATGATTAAAAGAATAAAATAAAGAGATTAAACAATTATTACTCATGATATTTTTAAAAAGTTATAATTTTAAAATTATTCCGCAATATTTTTTTGCACAACTTATCCCGCAATATTTTAATTTTTTACCAAAATAATTCATGCTAGAAGGAAATTCTTAAGTGACTAACAATGAACACATACTGCTGATGAGGCATTTCCACATGTGCTTCATTGTTTATGTGGCACATGTTACATGATTACCTTGATTGAAGTGACTCATGACACGTCATCATCTTGATTGATGTATTACATGTCACCTCATTAACTTGAATGACGTGATACATACATGTCACATTATCAACTTGGGTGACATGATATGTGTCACATTATTATATTAAGTGATGTGACACATATTACGTTATGACTTTGGGTGATGCGGTATGTGTCATGTTAATAATTTAACATATATGAAAATATCAAATCAACAACATGTGTTGATAGTTAGTTAGTTAACGGTTTCCACCCAAAAGTAATCATTTTGATCAAAAATTGAAATTTTAAAGGTTAAAATGCTCCCAAAAGAATAATCTGTATCAAAATGATCATTTGAACAAACGTTAGGGGTTAATTTTTACACTATAGTGCACATTTGTTTTAAAAAATAAATTATGTTTAATTTAAAAAATATAATTCAATTTATAATTTAATTAATTCTTATTTTTATTAAAAAAATATTAAAAATAATATAAATAAATATAATTAAAAGTAATTTATCAAGTGTAAAAATTCAATTCAAGGTTAATTATGATTACTTGAAGACTTGAAAAGGATGAGAAAATTATCATAGAGCTCTTGTTGAGAGTTGAACTTATGATCTCTATGCGGGAGCTCTATCCAACTGAGCTACAAGAATTGATTATTAAATGGGTGCCTAAACCGAAAACAGCTGAAAATTGCTTCATGATACAAATATCATTAAATGATAGTTTAGTCTTTTTTTAGTCTAGAATATAAGCCATATATGCGATACAACCCTTTTGAATCAACTTCTTAGTTGTTAAGACCAAAATAACATTAGAGGTAACCCATTCACTATCCAATCATTACCATATCTAATTTGTTAAATATCTCAAATGTTTCCCTCTTGATGATACAATCAAGATTAACTCGATGTTTGATTAATCGGTATATACCCAGAATGGGATCTTACTCCTCGAAGGATAGTTCCATTAAGTCAACTAGAAAGATTTCACCTTGAAACTCTATGACGAGAAGTGGTAATAATCAACTACCACGAGAAGCTCTACGACCTCTAATACTCATATTGATCAAATAACTGAGTATCAAATATCTATAGTCATAGATTAAGTACAATCTCTAACTGAGGATCGGTATCAGAGTCTCAAAGTAAATCAAACATTTCAAAAAGAAAAAATTTCTCCCATGGTATTATTGCAAACTGTGCACGTTTAAGGTCTCAAATCAAGATTTCGAAACCAAGGTTGAGCATGGTAGACAGAGAAGACCATGAAATTCATTTTTGTAATGGGAAAGAATTCTAAGATTTAGTCGTTGAAAGTAGAAGATGAAGACAAGAGCATATATTACTTTAGGGAGCAGGATGCATTCATGATAAATGCACTGAAATCATAATGACAAATATGTACCAAAATTTGCAGTAAAGATTGTGGTTTTTTTATCCTGATGTATCAAAGAAGAAACTTATATAATATTACTATGGTGGGAGTGAGCATAGAGATTTAAGAGGCATCATGATCATATATATGAATACAACAAGAACTCAAGGCAAGTGTTGACCTTGAAAGAAAACCTTTTTCCCCTTATTATGTAATAAAGATACTGAATAGGGGTGCTTAATGAGCTAAAGCATCTAGAATTCGATTCGGTCAAAGCTTGACTCGGGTTGACTTGACTCGAGCTCGACTCGAGATCTTAAGGAGTTGAGTCGATTAAAGTATAACTCGACTCAATAAGTTCGTGAGAAACTCGTTAATGTTTTTTACAATTTTTATTTAAAAATATTTTCATTTAAAAAATTACTAATAGATAATAAAAAAGATGATAAATTACTAATATATTAATTTTCTAATAAATAATAAAAATACTAAATTATTAAGTAATAACTATTATTTTACTACACCCGAAATCAAACCCTATTTATTATTTTAATATATTTGTGAATTGTTGCTTTTGAGTTTAGACTTTAAATTGTTTCATACATTATTTTGATAATTTTTTATTATATTTATTAATTTATGTTTATATTAAACTCTATATAGTATTAGTAGATTTTACTTATAGTAAAAAACAAGGTAAAAATTTTGGTGAGTTTAATGAGCAACGAGCTTAACTAGCACGAGTCGAGCACTGTCCAACTTGCAATTGACTCGCTCGTTAAACACCCCTAATACTGAACATGAGAATAGAAGGGGCATGTTTGCACAACATAGATATTTTACATCGAAATCTATGAGTAATGACATTGATATTGGACCATTGCTTGAGAGAAAGTGATCAAAAGAGAAGTCTTCGTTTCAAAGACTAAAGATGTTTGCACGAATCAACTTACTTCAGTAGTTAAAAGAATCGTTGTTGTTCTTAGAGATCACAAGTTCGAGCACCAACGACTGTAAGAGTGATTGGGTATTCATTATCAAATGGTTGAGAATACTTAAAACAGATACTACTTTGTAATCACTAGGTCAATCAAGAGATTCTATTCAAACAAATTTCAGTGCATGTTAGAATATTATTAAATACAACTTTTAATTGCAGAAGTTTTTTCTAGTGGCTGGAGCTCTTGACCTTGCTTTAATCTTTGCCACTTTTGTGAGACAAAGTGATTGGAACGTAAAAGTTCAACTCTTCAGCTTATCTGATACAATTTAACAGTTTGCATCAAATCAATCTTCAGTTTATAATTATCCCTTTAAATAGAAGCTTATTTTTGCTGTTATATTTCTGTTTTTGCTTGTAGAACAGTTGCGTCAATGGGGGTTTCCTCCTTATTCCTCCATGACCTGTACCTTCATTAAAATGAAAAAAATAGCATGGCATCTAACTCTGAAATGACTGCTTGATGTAAACCCTGAAATTTGCTTCACCACAAAGCATATCGGTTGAGACTTCGATAATCCTACTTATCGATAATGTCAATCGGTCCGTTCCACCATTGAGACTTTCATTCAGTCATTTACAACCATAAACCCTTTGTGTCTAGATTCGAGTCTCAACATTTGCGACATGTTTTCGTTCGATACCATTTGATTCGTCCAACTATCGAAATTCAGTAGTATACATTATGAAAAATCACTTCCATTATGGAAAATAGCACCACATTCATGTATACATTTCTTTATTAACATATAGAGCTTTGGCTTATCTTTGACAGCACTCTAAAGTTGTTCTAACAACCGGATCTGCGTCATACGAAGTCTACAATATGTACACACCAAACACCCTTTTTCTTTACTATATATATTTGCTTTCGTATGCCTCGATGAATACATACATAGATACATAGTCGGAAAAGTATTTTCAAATTTCGAAACCAGACGATAAAAAATGGGAGTGTCACTTCTTTCATCACCCACAATTCTGGGTTTTTTCTCATTTTTCACTTTCTGTCTACTTGCAGACACGGTTCTTGGGGTCACCAGGCACTACAAGTTTGATGTATGTATTGTTTTGGCATGATTCTCAATCAAATATTTGTTTCATTAATGATACTTCTAAATTTGGTCTATTGTAACCATTTTGTAGATCAAGTTGCATAATGTGACACGTTTGTGCCATACGAAGAGCATTGTTTCGGTGAATGGACAATTTCCGGGGCCTCGCATCGTAGCAAGAGAGGGTGACCGGCTTCTTATAAAAGTCGTCAACCATGTACCAAACAATATTTCTATCCACTGGTATTGAAGTTTACTTTGAAAATGACATTCTGCAGAAATTGCAAGTTAAATAAATGATTTCATATGCATGTTATGGTAATGTGTTCTTCGAAACAGGCATGGCATTCGACAGATTCGAAGCGGGTGGGCAGACGGACCGGCATATGTGACTCAGTGTCCCATACAAACCGGTCAAAGCTACGTTTACAACTTTACCATTATAGGCCAAAGAGGGACCCTCTTCTGGCATGCCCACATATCATGGCAAAGAGCCACTGTTTATGGTCCCATTGTCATTCTTCCCAAGCGTGGCGTTCCGTATCCATTTGCGAAGCCTTACAAAGAAGTTCCGATCATCTTCGGTGATGAAATCATCCGCGAATCATTAACTACGAACCTGCATTTATTTTCTGAATGCAAATTAAACCCTTTTATTATGTATTGCAGGAGAATGGTTCAATGCAGATCCTGAGGCTGTTATTAGCCAGGCACTTCAGACAGGTGGAGGCCCGAATGTTTCGGATGCTTATACCATCAATGGTCTCCCTGGACCACTTTATAACTGCTCTTCGAAAGGTATAAAATAGCTAAAATTTTGTATTGAACTATATATTTCTGACAGAGCTATGGAGTTCACTTGTGGACTAATAATTTTGACAGATACGTTCAAGCTTAAGGTGAAACCAGGCAAGGCTTACCTTCTGCGTTTAATCAATGCTGTACTCAATGATGAGCTCTTCTTCAGCATAGCGAATCATACTCTCACTGTTGTTGATGTTGATGCCATTTATGTTAAACCGTTCGAAACTGAATCACTTCTCATCGCCCCCGGCCAAACCACAAATGTGATCCTCAAGACCAAACCCAGCTATCCAAATGCCACATTCTTCATGACTGCTAGACCATACGTGACAGGTCAAGGAACGTTCGATAATTCAACTGCTTCCGGTATCTTGGAATACGAGTCACCTCCCAATAGCCTTCATTCGAGCATCTCGATTAAAAATCTCCCGTTGTTTGAACCAACTCTACCTGCTTTAAACGACACTTCCTTCGCTACAAATTTCACGAGTAAACTCCGTAGCTTGGACAGTGCACAATACCCTGCCAACGTGCCCAGGAAGGTCGATAAGCATTTTTTCTTCACGGTTGGTCTCGGAACCAACCCCTGCCAACATGACCAAACCTGCCAAGGTCCTAATGGAACCAAGTTTGCTGCTTCGATCAATAATGTATCATTTGCAATGCCGACTATTGCATTGCTCCAGGCTCATTTCTTAGGCCAATCCAACGGAGTGTACACCCCAGATTTTCCGCGAAGTCCTATAATTCCATTTAACTATACAGGCACACCTCCTAACAATACTATGGTAAGAAACGGAACAAACGTAGTAGTGCTTCCTTTTAACACTTCAGTGGAGCTAGTTATGCAGGACACGAGCATTCTCGGAGCGGAAAGCCACCCTCTTCATTTACACGGCTTCAACTTCTTTGTCATCGGCCAGGGTTTCGGCAACTTTGATCCGAATAAAGACACTGCAAAGTTCAACCTGATTGATCCTATCGAAAGGAACACTGTCGGTGTGCCTTCGGGCGGTTGGATCGCAATTCGTTTTCTAGCAGACAATCCAGGTAAGTCACAAGTCGAACGATCGATAAGAATCGTCAAATGCTTGGTTTGAGTTGATGATGATGACCAAATGACAACAAGAACCAAATTGTTGCAGGGGTATGGTTCATGCATTGCCATCTAGAAGTGCACACCAGCTGGGGGTTGAAGATGGCTTGGATTGTGTTGGACGGTGAATTCCCCGATCAGAAGCTGCAGCCTCCACCAGAAGATCTTCCTAAATGTTGATCAATATGACTCATTTTGATTTGTTGACCTTTTTGTTTTCTTGTTTTGTGCTTTTGGCATTGGCCTACCAGTAGTCCAAGCATGTTTTCTTGATTCTTGTGGAGTTAAGACAGAAGGAATTTACTTTGTAATAACATCTGTGAATGACAATAAAAAAGGTCTCCAATGATGCATTGGCATCCTTTTGTTCTTTCAATCTTAGCTTTGAAGCATATCAGTACAATTTGCAACTCCATGGTATATTTATTGCATTTTCTAGGAGAAGATGGGTTTCTCGAAGCCTGCAATGAGTACACAAATTATAGGATAAAATACACAAATGTTCCTCCGACTATGGGATATCGCTTTATTGAGTCCCTTGATTATAAAAAGCTACAAAATGATCTCCGACTATAAGGTGTTACTTTGTTGAGTCCCTCAAATATTAAAAGTTACAAAATTGTCACCAAACAATTCATTATGTTTCAAACTCATTATTTCCCGTTAAAAAATTAGTAGTCATCTGAGTTGGAAGTTAACCTATTAACTTAGATATGATAGTCGTTTGAGATTATGATATCATATTTTATCATATCTCAGTCAGCAGGTTAACCTCCAACTCAGTCCGCCATCAAATTTTTAATAGAAAATGACGAGCTTGAACATAATGAATAGTCGGGTGACCGTTTTGTAACTTTTAATAGTCGAGTGACTCAATAAAGCAACACCCTGTAATCGGGGACCATTTTATAACTCTTAAGAGTCAAGGGACATGATCCCTTCTGCCACGCCATCCTGCTACACCACGAGTTGAAACATTTTGAATTGATAAGTCATATTTTATAACTTATAAATTTTAGTTGAAATATTTTTAATCGAGTTGAGTTGATTCGAGTTGTTCAAATTTCTGTTTAAATTCAATTGTCAATATTTATAATATTATATTACTATTTGATTCCAATTTAAATAATTTTCTATAATCATATACGATATACATATACATTTCTTCATATTTTTGTATATACAATATACATATATTTATATAGAATTAAGGGACTCAGCTTGAACTTGGAAAACAATCCACTGATTACTAAAAATTTTGGTTATTCAAGTTTTATTTTATAACTCAACTCAAAAAAAAATTTAGTTGAATCAATTTTTTTAACACCGAATCATTATGAAATTGCAAATCGGGTCAATTTTTGCGTCAAGTCGAAACTCACCAATCCCTAGTTAACAATATAAAAAAAATCGAAAAAAATAAAAAACAATAAAATTATTTTCTGATCTAACTCAGAAAATAATCAACCACCCATTAACCCCTTCATCAGAGCCAACTAGAATCATTTCACCGCCACAATCTAAGCTTAATTAATTATCGGTGTCTCTTAGAACATTTTCCTCATAATATGACCTTTACTCATTATTAATTATGATCGAAGGTATTTTGGTCATTTCCTTTACTCGAGGTAGTTCGATAATTTAATCGAGTGCATTTCAAGAGTCTTATGACATTCTTATAAAGTTCTATGTTTTTTTTATTCATTACTAATAAAATACATGCATTATTCGTGATTAAGGGTAATTCAATAATTTTTTTTATTTCTACTCGAATATTTGATCGAGCGTCCAAGCATGACATGTAAAGCATCATAATTATGAAGGTCATGAAACATTTTAGAGTTTGATGTGTAATAACCTTAATTTACTAATGTCGATCTCACTAGCCTCTAATTCGAGCTTCTAGCCATTTTCTCATGAAAACTAGTCGTCCAATTCACGAACACGGACCTCAAATAATTTTCCTCGATATCAAAGTAACTCATTAATTACCAAGTAATAATTTCAAGGACTTAATTGCCCAAATTGAAGACTATCGGGACCATATAAATCTAAATTTAGGGACTGAATTGAATACTTACCAAAGTATGAGGGATTGAAACTATAATATTTCATTTCATTCTTAAAAACAAGCAGATCCTGAAGCTGGACAGATTGAATTATGGATCGGGCACGGATCATATGCCAAAATTACGATAGTTTGTTTTCCTCGGGTCGCCCCCTCAAAAACGATGTGATTTTGGAGAGTTATATAAACCTTTTAATCCTTTTTTTCCTTTTTTTTCTTTCATTTTTTTCATATATTGTTTTTTCTCAAAATCTTTAAAAGTATTTACATTGTTTGCTTCACTAGTCAATCATTGATCCCATTGACTATCACGGCTACCGGTGATCTCCTGAAATCAAATTTCTCATGTAGGACCTTTCTAGTCCCCTAAGCATGAATTCGACTTTCAATCATCCAAAATCTTCATGGGTAGCTATAAACTTACGAGGAACCTTATTTTTGTTACATCGACTTAAAAGGTCTTGTAATCATCGTTGTGCGTTGTCTGATGGTACTGAGCAGGGATTTAAATAGCAGTTCGCGCGGTAGTGTCCGCGATATAACGATAGTGGTGCCCTCCGAAACCGTTATTATATGACCGTGATACCCGCAATCCTCGTAATAACGCCTGTTATGTTTGTAATGGCGACAAAAGCGACGCGACTACGACCACTACCACTATTTGAATCCCTGGTACTGACTCTAAATTATATCACTCCCGTTTATATGAGGAGCATCTCCACTGGTAGAATCTTCCAAACGACACCTAAATAGCCAAAATCAAGAACCTAAGAAAATCCTTAATGGACACATGACTTTATATTAAGGGGACTAACTTTTAAAATTTTAGAGGAGCAAAAATAAATTATCAATTAAAAATATAAAAAGTATCTAAAATATATACTAATTTAAAATTTTCAATAGGACAATCAGTCCCCTCTTCATCCACTTCGATCCATCCCTAACGGCACTGATTCCAGAATTTGATCATAGAAAAAGGGCTAAATAAGAGAAATATTATAATTTAAAAAGTTAATGAAATGACATTGGCGAGAATTTATTTAGGAATTTATTTAGTAATTATAATGATTTTAAAGAATTTGTTTCTTTAAATTTTCAGGGTGAAATGAAAAAAAAATAAGAGAAAAATACTGAAAATATTATAAATTTTATCTTAAAAAAATATGCGTGACAAATAGGGATGACAAACGGGTACAATTTCGTGGATTCCGCACCGCACCCGCTCCAATTGGGGCGGGGATGGGTATAATTTTAGTAGGTAGTGGGCGGGTGTGGATTTAGAAAGTGGTACCCGTCGCAGGTAGTGGGCGGGTAATGGGTTTGACACCTTACCCGCCCCGCATCCGCCCACCCCACATCCGCCCACCCAGCTAAATATCCATTACATTTTAGACATTATGAATTTAGGTGTAATTTTAGAGACTAATTTATAAATCATAATATTATATAAGCTATAACTTGTTATTTAACCAAATATTAGGGATAAGTTAAGTTTATGCATATTTTTTTTCCTTTCAAACCTCTCATTTTTATTACTGCGCCGATCTTCAAAGTCAGTATGGGTTCTACGTATTTCTCAATTTCATATGTAACTATCAAGTTTCTGTCGATCTTCAAATGATGTTGGATTTTGTGGTGTTTTTGGTATAAAGGATTCATTGTCTTAGGATATCGGAAGGGATTGCATAATAAAATACTCGTTTTTTAGTTAAAATGTCGAAATCTTATATCAATCTGCATGCATTGATACTGGTTGGAACAGTTCAAAACTTATCGAAACTGTGGAAACGTACTGAAATTCGGATTGGAATGGAGCTTAGACTACTTGATATCGGTTTAGGACAAAATGAGTAAGTACTAGTTTTATTTATGTGTTTGTTGCTTATGCATAACTTAAGTTTGTTGTCAAGCGGGTCTAGCCGGGTACATCTCTAGTTGGATAGTGGGTGTTGGGATAGATTTGAGAATGTACCCGCGTGGGAGGGCGTGGATTTGAAAATTTTTACCATCATGGGTGGTGGGCGGGTGGTGGATTGAAAAATATTAGATGGGTATGGGGATAGGGGAGGGGGTATCCGCACCCGACCCGCCCATTTGCCATCCCTAATGACAAATGTCAAAGACATGTTTATATAAGAACGAGCATGAGCCAAGTGACGGCGACAACGCACATGAAAGGGAGTTGTCTTCAATTATTCAATAAGTGTGTATTTAAAAAGCTATATTTAAACACTTGAAAAATCTAATATCTAAATAATATGCAAGGAATCACATGGCCAAAATTTTTTATTTTAAGTTGTAAAAGACATGTCTTGAGCTTTAATCAGATTAATATCAATATCACAGTTAAAGGAAGCTTTAGATATTCGAATCCAATGTCAATTGTTTCCTTATGAAATACTTGAGATGAGTATTCAAAACTTTCTTTAACTATCGTACTAATATGATTCAAAAAAAAAATTTATGATCTCCCTTTTAACCTCAAAATTAGCTCGCCATGAGATAATTCGAATATCGCATTGTTTAGATATTATTATTTTTATGTGTTTAAGCATGATCTTTTAAATATGCACTCATAGAGTAGCTGAAGACAATACATATAAATGTGCTCTGTCACTATCATCGTCACTCGATTAATACTCGTACAAACATGTGACTCGCGTGTTATATTTTATAACAAAAATCAAAATATTTTATCCATTTCTTTCATTTTATCCATAATCTTTTTTTCGAAAATGCTTTCTGCAAGAAACACATTCTGCCTCCGTGACAACAGTACGAGTATAGATTGGATTAAAATGAAATTAAGGGAAAAGTTCAAAAAAAAAAATACACATTCTTCTAGAAAAGAATAAACGCGTGCAATGTAGGTCGAATACACCTACTTGCACGAGCAGAAAAATCGAGCAACGATAACACGTGTATTAGTCTTATCTTCAATAATTCAATACATGTGAATGTCTAAAGATTATATTTAAACACGCACATCCAAACAATATGGATTTGAGAAATTCATAACCAAACATGTTGATTTTGAACGGTCAAAGACAAGTACTAACTTGATCATACATCAAGCTTAGTCAAAACTTAAAATTTTAGGATAGATATCAAAAGAAAAATCAAGTTAACAAACCAATTTAGCCCTTATTTAGATCCATTTGATATTCT